GAGGCGTGGGGAGGGCGGGAGAGGGCAACAAGACTGCTGCTTGGGGAGGAATGTAGCCCAGTTCTGCAGCCAGATCCTATGGAGCAACAGCTGGCAGCTCGGCTCACTCAAGAGGGAGGCCTGGTTATGGGGCCAGAGCATTTGGGTGGCCAGAGACAGCAGGCAACTGGGCTGGGCGAGCTAGTCAGTGGGAGGAGTTCATCGTCCCTGAGAAAGGCGTTTTCCTCTGAGCTGCTATGAGCACACCTGAGTTTGGGGTTCTGTACTAAAACAGAGTGCTAAGTATGCCACAACATCCTGATTTAAAGGAATTGTTGTTTAAACGGCTCAGATCCTGGCAAAGATTAGGGTCTGCGAAGGTGAAATTAGGGTCTGAGGGTGAAATTCCAAGAGAGGCAAGAGGCTTCCACGGCTGGGCGCCAAGGGTAGCCTTTCCTAACCAGGTTCACACAATGATAGAAAGTCCCAGAATTCCTCAGTGGAGCAATCTGAGAATTCTGGGAACTGAAGTCCCCACATTTGGAGAATACAATCTCGGGGACTCTGTTCAAAATGCTTTGGGAATCGGAGGAAGCCATGAGAATGACAGCTGAGGTGAGAGAGGCGGAAGTATAGGCTGGGACTTTATTTGGAAGTGGAATTTCCATCCCTAACTGAAGCGGTTGTTAAGTGAAACATGTAGCCAGACAGCGATGGTTATCTTGGTTGTTAGGTGAATACCTCAAGTTTCTCCTGCCTTGTGCAAACAGCCTCCGCTTCAAATCCTCCCCTGGCCAAGGTGAAGAGCCCCCTGTTTTCTGCCATTCCCTCCCCCTCCCCACAGCTGACCTCCTCTCCCCACCCCCACCCCCGTCACCTCAAGCAATCCTAGTCTGTCCCTGGCTGGAGGGCTCTACATGCCCCACATAAATCAGCTCCTTGGCTGCCCTGCCCCAAGGAAAGAGCCATCCAGAGAATGCTGTCCAGACCCCACTGGAATGGACCCCAAGCCAATGGTGAAATCTAAAATTTGTTACTACCGGTTCTGTGGGTGTGGCTTGGGGGGGTAATGTGACTGGGTGGGCGTGGCCTTTTTTTTTTTTTTTTACTTTTAAAACCATTTTTTCTACAACCTCTTCGGCGAAGAGGTTGTAAAAAAATGCTTTCAAAAGGCTCTGACGATCCCAGCTGAGTTGCCTGATCGTCAGAGGGTTTTTAAAAGAAAAAAAGCCTCTGATGATCGTGCAACTCAGCTGGGCATGGGGGGGAGGCAGGGATTTTTGCTACCCGCCTCCATCGCTACCAGATCGGGCGATCTGGTCTGAACTGGGAGCATTTCACCCCTGTCCCAAGCCCACCTGTATTGAGGGAGAGGAGACTTCATGGGGGAGACTCGGCCTCTCCCAAATGTAAATGCCCTGGGACAGGATTGGAACCAGTTTCCAATGGAAAGCAAGGGAGCTGCTGGGAGGATGGATGGATCCTGAGAGAGTTTCTGTCCCCCCTCCCCTACTGGTAGATCTTGGATCAACCTTTACTGCGTCCTCAGCAAAGGGGAGTTGGGCTTCTACAAGGACTCCAAGGGCCGGGAATCTGGGAGCACCCACAGCAACGAGCCTCTGCTGAGCCTGCAGACTGGCACCGCGGAGGTGGCCAACGACTACAAGAAGAAGAAGAACGTGCTGAAGATCAAGTGAGCCTCCTCCCGGGGGGAGGGTGTGGTAGTGTCGGAGCCAAGGATGCAGGCCTCTTGGAGGGACAGGCAGGGTTGCCAGGATGGGCCCAAAGTTGCTCCCTGTTGATGGGATTCTCCCCTGCAGAACTAACGACGGGGCCGAATTCCTCCTGCAAGCCAAGGATGAGGTACGGACTTTCTCCACACATCCCAGGGCACAGTGGGACACTCCCCACCTCTCTCAGACCTGTAAGAACTTTTCCCTCCTTCCTTCAGGACGACATGAAGACCTGGCTGACGGCTCTGAGTTCGTCCATTGCGGAGCATGCGGAGATCACCCGCTGGGGCCAGGCACTGCTCACCACCTCCTCCACAGACGAAGGCCTCCCCAAGCGGGACACAGACAGAAGGGCCAGCACGTCTGGCAGGAAGAAATGAGACAGCTGCCCCCCACCCCTGGGGCTGGGAAGGACAGGCAGGCTGGCCGGCCAACGTAGTCTTGGGGTGTGGAGAAGACTCGGGGGTGGCTGAGAGGCCACCCAACAGGAGCTCTGAGGCTGCCAAGAAGGAGAGACAAGGGTGGGGCATGACTTCTCTGTGAGGCAGATGCTGGACCTGTGTGGCTGGACAAAGAGCTTCTGCCTGCCCCATCTTTTCTAACTGCTAGGAGCTGAGAGGCACCCTCAGCCTGGGGACAGAGGTTTGCTTCCCAATGAATGGCAACAGGAGACCAGGTGCCCCTGGGCTCCCCCCCCCAGTTCCTTTTCTGTCCATGTCCTGGCAGCCGGACAGAAGGATCCGGTCCACAAGGTTCCTTTCGCTCCTCTGTTCAGTGGAATTACTGCAGCTCCCCAAAGGAGTCCCGCCAGTTGACAAGCACTGGAGAGCAGCCAGCAGGGAGGAAGCCAAGTGATGACAGAAGAGATCCCAGAGGCTGAGGGGCCATGTGGAGCACCCCCTTGTCTTCCTTGCAGCTTTACATCTCCCAGAAATGGTGCTACTGTGGGTGCCAAGGATGGTGTGTGTGTGTGTGTGTGTGTGTGGTTGGTTCTCTGGGCTTGCTGCAGGCCCTTCTCTGTGTGAGTCTCCTTACCCCCACCCCCACAAGGGTCACTTGCGAGAATATCGGCACCCACACAGCCCTGGACGAAAGAGCCGCTCTTTGGGGTTCAGTTGCCGCCTTCAGCCTGCCTGGGAGAGGACTTCCATGTCTGCTCTCCAGCCAATTGCCTTTGCCTCCCTCCCCTTTCAATGATGTGCTTAGACGCATGCTGGGTAAATCCCTGGGATGAACCCCCACAAAGATGGCCTGGAGGGGTTGAAGGGCAGATGCTCTTCCAGCTGACCCTCCAGAACTTCAGCCAGTGTCTTTGAGAAGTCTCCTGTTTTGCTTGTCAACCGCCCCTTCAGCACCATGCTTGGGCTCCTGGGTCTTCCTGCTTTCCAGGATGAAGGTGGCCAAAGCAGAGGGTAGGCAGCGGCCCCAATGTGTGGGAAGGCCCCTTGCCCTTGTGAACAAGCCATATTCACATCCCCGCTCCTGCTGGGAGGGAGGGAGGGAGGGAGGGGCTCACCCAGGTGTATTTATATGCAATAACACAACGGGAGAACCAGACTCAGCGTAGCCCCTCCCAGCAGAGCAGTGAGAGCTTGCATGGGACCACCCGACTCTCAAGCCTGCCTCCAATGCCAAGTGTCCAAGGGCTGCCCAGTTCCTGACTCCCTCCACTGCAGCAAGGGAGTGGGGAGGGAGGCTGCTCTGAAGCAGAAGTAGAAATGCCTGTCCCTCTGGCCATGGAGTCATCATGCATGCCAGTCCTTTTCTCTGCATAGTCCAGAATGTGTCCTCCCCCCCTCCTCCCTTCCGTGCTTGAGGAAGCAGGAAGAGATCGTGGCTGTGGGCCTGGGTGGAATCACACAAAGCGCAGGGAACCCACATTCAGTAGCTCAATTTGAAACTCCACTTCCTTTCATGACATGCTAATGTGGATGTACACGTACAGAAGAACAGGCAAAGAAGGATTTGGAATCAAAGTGTGTGTGCTGAGCCCAGAAGAAACCAGTTTAGCTGCTGTGTGGCTCAATTGTCTTTTCCCAAGGCACCTGTCTCCCTCGGGAGCATCCTTCGGCTAAGGGGTCAAGAGGCTAGTAGGTCAGTTACTGCTTCCTGTGGTTGTGTGACACACTGCCTGAGTTGGGGCCAAATCCAGCCTCTTCTGGGCCTGATGTAGTTTCCACAATGCTTCACCCTGGATGGGGTGGGCACAGCTTGTCAGGGAGCTTTCCTGGTTCAGAATTGTAACTGCTTTTTTTTTTGGACTAGTATAAAGGATCAATCAAAATATGAACAATTGGGGGTCACATCTTTTCTCTAATTGTAAATCTGGACATGGGTTTTTCAGAGACCAGTTTGCAAACAGTTTAAATCCTAGTCATATGAGATCAAAAGGTGGGGTCAACCAAGCTTCCGACAGATTTTTGCAGTCACTTTGGGAAGGTGCCCTCGACTGGATGGGCAAACTTTGGCTGAAGCATCCAAAGAGCAGCTCGTCTTCTTCGGATCCCTTGCACAGAAACGATGAGATTTATTCAGCCGCGCCTCCGGCTCCAGCAGTGGGGAAAACACAAGCCCTTCGCCAATGATGGGAAACGGGGCGGTCGAATCCCGTTCTTTCGGGGGGGGGGGGGATCGATTTCCAGTATAAACTGCAGGCTAAGGCCACGGCGTTTCCAGGCGCTGCCGCTTTCTAAAACTTGCTCTGGCCGTTTCCTTGCGTGTGTCTCGGGAGGCATCTGGCTTTTGGCTGCCTAGGTTGCGTCCCGCGAGTCAACTATTAACATTCATCCTGTAGAGACAGACGGGATCCAAGCGGGGAATAGCGTCGACAAAGCAGGGCTGGCCTACTGCTAGGAAGGGGCGGGCTTCCATTAGTTAAGAGTTTAACGTGTGGAAATTCGTCCGCGGCCTTGATAAGCAGGTGCCGTCTGGGAACGGGACAGGCTGTCAAAAATCACCGAGGAGGAGTCAAAGGAGCTGCTCCTCCCCCCTTTCCCGCCCGGCCAACGGCTGCTTCTAACGGGCTGAACTCATCCCTCGCGACGGGGCCCCGGTTTGCGTTCCTCGAGACCCCCTTGATCGTGCCGCCTGAAGCGGGAGGGTGCTGCTTGCTCCCCCAGAAGCCCCCCCTGCAGGCAAGTGCCGGGAGCAACCCCACCGACGGGAAAGGGGGCCCGGTCTCGAAAACCCGCAGCGGCGGCGCCACCGAAGCCCGGGAGAGGCGGCAGGACTACGACTCCCATCGGCCCCCGGGAGACTCGGCCAATCGGGAAGCCCCAGAGGAGGGCGCGGCCGTCGGGCGTCCAGGGAAGCCAATGGCCGACTGAAGGTCCGTGGCCAATCGGGCGGATCCGGAAGCGGCCTGGCGATCAGGATGGCGGCGAGCGGCGGCCCGGCGCCCGGCGGGGCCGGCCTGGTGCAACTCAACGTGGGCGGCCGCAGGCGAGTGGCCGGGGGGGCGGGGGGAGGGATGGGTCCGGCCGGGGCTCCTGCCCTCTTCACGCGCCTCCTCTCTCCGCCCGCAGGTTCTGCACCTCCCGCCAGACGCTCGCCTGGGTGCCGGACTCCTTCTTCTCCAGGTGCCTGGGAGGGGGCGGCGGGCGGGGCTCTCCTCTCCCCCGCCTGCCTGGCCGCCCCTCACCGCCTCTCTCGCCCGCAGCCTGCTCAGCGGCCGCATCTCCTCGCTACGGGACGAGACCGGCGCCGTAAGTGAGCCTCCCCCACCCCGCTACTGCGGGGGACCGGCGCCTCCCCGGGCCCTCGGCCGCTGCCCTGCCCTGCCCTGCCTTTCCCTCCCCCCAGATCTTCATCGACCGGGACCCCGGCCTCTTCGCCCCCATCCTCAACTTCCTCCGTTGCAAAGAGCTGGATTTCAGGTAGGCGCCCAGCTGCTTCGGGAGGGGGCGGGATGACGCGAGGGGCGCTGGGGCCGCCGCCGCCGCACCGGTTTCTCCGCCTTTTCTGCTCCACAGGGGGAGCGACCTCTCGCTGCTGCTGCACGAAGCCCAGTTCTACGGAATCACGCCTCTCAGTACGTTGTGGGGCGGCGGCTCCTGGGGAGCCATCCTGGGCCCCCAAAGACGAGTCTTGCGGACCCCCCTCCCCCACTCCCAGCCTCAGGGACTCACCTGGCCTCTCTGCCTTGCTCTCTTCTCCACAGTTCGCCGCCTGCAGTTGCACAAGGAACTGGAGCGGTCCTCTTGCGGGAGCGTCCTGTTCGAGGGTTACCTGCCCCCTCCTTCTGGTAGGGCTCAGCCACTGGAGGTATGGGCTGCGGCCGTCTCCCTGCAACCCAGTCAGCTCTCACTCTCCTTTCCTGCAGTGTTTCCTGCCAAGCGGTGGAACCGTCACAGCATCACGGGGGGACAGTTGGCTGCCCGGCCAGGCAACCCCCTGGTGCGCCGGAGCAACACCATGCCTCCCAACCTTGGCATCGGAGGGCTTCTGGGGAGAATGGAGGAGAGGAGCATGGCAGCCGGTGGGTGTCAGGAAGGGAAAGGTGGAAGCAGACCTGGGAGGTGGAAGAGAGAGCCTGGGGTGCGGCTGTACTATTGCTGCAATGGCTCTGCTGTCTGGTTTTGCAGCCCTGCAGCTCGGTTGATACGGCTTGTAGTTTGGTTTTAACAATGGAAGAAGCTGGGATGCTTAAGGCATGGAGGGTGGCTTGTGGCTTGTGGGAAATGCTCTCTGGATTTTGGAAATGAGGTGCAGCGCATCTGCATTGCACATTCCCTTTAGGAGCCACAAATGATCCAGGTATGGTTCGTCTTATCTGTGGCCATCATAACTGGGTCGCTCTGGCTTACGTTCACTTCCTTATCTGCTACAAGTAAGTGCAAGGGGTGCAGCTGAATCCTCAGCGGGGTGTGTGTGTGTTGTGTGTGTGAATGGGAAGAGACTGGTCTCCCTCTGCTTCCTGACTAATTTCTCACTCTGTAGGATGAAGGAGACCTCTGGCTGGCAGCTGGCTTTCTGTAGCCCCCGGCTGGACTGGGTAATCGAGCACGTGGCATTAAATGCCCGGGTGCTTGGTGGGTCCCTGGGTGATAGTGACAAAATGGTGGCTGCTGCCTCCTGCAGCGAAATCCTTCTATGGGCCCTTCAGCCTGACGGGAACGGCAGTGAGATTGGTGAGAAACTACCCCCCCCACGTGTCCTTAGCAATCTAAAATGCCTCTTGGGTGTGGGGAGGCCAACTAATTTCCTGGATGCTGGCTTTGCCTAGGCTGAGGTAAAAGTTTGTTCTTCTGGGCAGTGGGATCAGAATAAGGCAGGTTGACAGGTAGCTGCCAGGAACCTCCCCCTTTGATCTTGTGTGAATGTCTCAAACCTGTCCCCAAAATCCAGCTGGCTCTGGTTGTTGAGTCTTGCGCTCCCAGATGGCTGGGGAGGGCTTTTGAAGAAGATGAGGAGAACCCATAGATGGGGGGCCTCAACCGCTGTCTTCACTTGTATTTTCAGAGACGAGTTGGGTGGAGAGGAGCAGGCATTCCACTTGGCCTCCTGCTCTTCAGGGGCAGCTGGTTCAGGAGTCTCATGGGCCCAATCTTGCAGCCTCTCCTGCTCTTATCCCAGTTGCTTCTTTTGTTCTGTAGGAGTGTTCTGTTTAGGGGTCCCCCTAGAAGGTCTCTTCTTTGTTGGCAGCCAGCTTATTGCCACCAGCCACACGGGCAAGATTGGCGTCTGGAACGCAGTCACCAAACATTGGCAGGTAATGAAGCAGCTCGGGGAAGGAGGATTCCTAGAAGCATTGGAGGTTGGCTTGTTACAAGGAGTTGTATAATAGCTGCAGATTTGGGGTTAATACAGCTTGGAGGTGGGGGTGCTGCTGTTGAGATCTTTGAGTCTGACCTGTGGCAGCTAAACTAAGTTTAAGTTTACTTTACTGTCATTGCATCTCGTACAACAAAATTAAATGCTATCTTCAGTGTACATCATACATAAGAAAATTATAAAAAAATAAAATAAAAACACACATTCTTCACATTTTACACAATTGAATTGAAAACCCCTGATACTGCATTAATATTGCACTATACTTGGCAGCCCCCCCCCCCCCCCCACTTTTGAAGATGGGGACAAAAGTTACTTGACACCACTTCTCTGATTCTTAATCAGCGCTTCATGATTTTCCAAAGATCATAACAAAGTTTTGAACAGGTTGTTTGCCAGTTCCTGTAATTCATCTGGTCGTGAAGGTTTAAACTTATTCACACTCCCCGGGTGTGGTCTGACTGCATTTCATCCAAGTTGCTGGGTGGAATAAGGAGGTTGGGTCCCAGTTGGGGCTGGTGGGTGGCATTTTGCCCTCTTTGTGGAACAGCTTCAGCACTAGTGCAGCTCCCTTCATTTAAAACATCCATGAAAAGTCTTTGGTTCCTTGAAGTGTTTCCTGTTTATCTCAGCTGATGCGGTTCTCAGTTCAGGATCCGCCTGGATTCTCATAACAGGTAATTTTCTAGATCTCAGAGGCTGTGAGCTCTGGCTCTCTGATCTTCCTGTCCTCACCAGTTGCTCCACCTCCCCAGACTCAAGATGTGGTTCCCATCAACAGCCATGATGCTGCGGGCTCCTTCTTGCTCCTGGGCTGCCACAATGGCTCCATCCATTATGTTGGTGAGTTACAGCCAGCTGTCCCAGCAAGGCTATGTTGACTTTGTCCTGCCAGCTGCCCTTCTCACCTGCCAACTGCTTCCCCACAGATGTTCAGAAGTTCCCTCTGCGCATGAAGGACAATGACCTCCTGGTGACCGAGCTGTACCGTGACCCTGCAGAGGATGCGGTCACTGCCCTCAGTGTCCACCTCACACCCAAGAGCAGTAAGCCAGCCCGCCCCCCCTCCCGGGCAGAATTGGCCACAGGAGCCCAGGTCACCTGCCCAGACTTTCCCAAATCCCGGCTATGCTTTGCCTCCCTTCCTGGGCTGGAGGTGGGGCTGGCCTTTCTCGGCTGGGGCAGGTTTGCTTGCCTCCAGCCCTCTGCTCCTGTGTATAGGCCACAATGGAAATTGGATTGAAATTGCCTATGGCACCAGTTCAGGGATGGTACGAGTGATTGTCCAGCACCCAGAGACAGTGGGCTCGGGACCCCAGCTCTTCCAGACCTTTGCTGTTCATCGTAGCCCTGTCACCAAGGTGATGCTGTCAGAGAAGCACCTTATCTCAGGTACTGGCTTTGAGGAGGAGGGGCAGATGGGTGAGGCCAGCCAAGGGTCCTCTCCCTCCCTCCCCTCATTTTTTCTGCCTGCTTCCCTCCACCCCCAGTCTGTGCTGATAGCCACGTACGGACATGGACGGTGACTCGATTCCGTGGGATGATTTCTACGCAGCCAGGCTCCACCCCGTTGGCTTCCTTCAAGATTCTGGCCCTGGACTCGGTGGACGGGCAGGGGGGCTGCAGTGCGGGCACAGACATTGGTAGGGACATCTGGGGTGCAAGGGTGGGGCCTGTGAGATCTGGGCCCTGGGACCCCACCTGCTTCCTTCTCTCTCCCATGCAGGGCCTTTTGGCGAGCGCGATGACCAACAAGTGTTCCTCCAGAAGGTGGTTCCAGATGCCAGCAAGCTATACGTGCGCCTCTCCTCTACTGGGAAGAGGTGGGTCTGCAGCGGTCAGGCTAGCAGGCGGCTATGCTTGAGGCCAAGCTCCAGCGGGTGAAGCCGGAGGCAGCTGACTGGTCTTCTTAAATTTAGCCCTGCTCTTGCCTTTCGGCAGACCAAAGGTGGTCGGTACCACACCCAGCTTCACCGGGGGGGGTGTTTCCTGGGGAGGGAAGTCTCTTACCGAATTTTTACCCCATTGGTGCCTCTCTCTTCCCTGCAGGATATGCCAGGTGTGCTCAGTTGACGGCTCATCCATCACAGCCTTCCTGGTCCAGGAGTGCGAGGGCTCCAGCCGCATTGGTTCCCGTCCGCGCCGCTACCTCTTTACCGGCCACAGCAATGGCAGCCTCCAGATGTGGGACCTCACCACAGCGATGGAGATGGGGGATCAACCCCCAGGTGCAAGGGTTGGGCTTGGCTGGGAAGGGTAGCCCAGGAGGCAGCCAGGGGCTCTGCAGTGGGCATGGGTAGACTGCCCCTGCCCAGAGAATGCGTTCCCGCTGCCTTCTGCTGTTCACTGCGTTGTTTCTGGGTCTCTCGGCAGACTAATCTCTGCTACTGCCCTTCCTCCTCCTCCTCCTCTTCCTCCTCCTCCTCCTGCTGTCCTGCAGATTGTGGTGGCCTCGCAGAAGAAGAGCTGCTGTCTGAGTTGGGGCAGTGTGACCTGGCCCTTACCCACACCCTGGAAACGAGTCCTACGGGGTCTTTCACTCTCTCCAGTACTTCTGGCATCAGGTACAGGTGGGCACGGGTGCCGGGCGCAGCCGATGGGGGCAGGTAATTGAAAGGGAACCCACCAGCAACTCCAGATGTGCAAGTCTGCAAGGAAAGAGAACTGACTTGCCAAATCCCCACCTTCCCTGCCCTTGGCTGGCCTTAAGTGTTCCTCAATGGGATCAAGCTCTTCTCTTCCCCATAGACAGCACATAACAATGTTGTGGTTCTCCTAGCCGCCCCCAAAACCGAGACGTCGATGGGACCTGTGAGAAGCCATTGAAAGCCTCTCCAGCCAGGTTGGACTTCCAGCAAGGAGACTGCCACCGACAACAACTGGGCAGGAACTTCTTGGACCAATCCGCCAAGGGCCAGTGGATCAGCCACTCTCGGGGAGGGCTCTCTGCTAGCCTTCTGAGCCAAAGATCGCCCAGTCCCCATCCTGCTCCCCTGGAGCCCACCCTCCCCCTAGCCCCATCCAAAGTGCCACTCAGTGAAACTTCTTTCTGACCTCTGGCTGTTCTTGGGGAGCAAGAGAGCCAGCGGGAACCCCTGCTGCTGCTGCATCCCACCTCTTGCAACTCCCATGGCCTGGAGCTCAATGGAGTGGAGCCTGCCGCAGAGCTGCCCACCCCACTTCCTTCAGGGCTCCTCACCTGGGAACTCTGTCCCAAGCCCTTTCCAAGGCTCTCGGGGCCTTAGTCCTCTGGCAGGGTCCTTTTTTTCTTCTCTCTGGTGTGCAAGAGCAGACTGGATTAGGTGGTAACACGTGGCCTCTGCGAGGCTGCCCCCTCCCTCCTGTTTGTGAAAAGCCAAAGATACTTATGAGCAATAAACACCACCCCTCTTCAACTGCCTTGGCTGACTGGTTTCTCTTCCCTTTCTCTGATAGATAAGCAGCAATAAATATATGTGGAAAGATGTTCACAGAACCTCTGGAGTCTTCCTGGGATTTGCTGGAGGGCAAACCTTTCCAGGATCTTGTAGGTTGGCGTCCAAGTGCTGGTTTTGGCCAAGCAGATCTGAGGGGCAGGGGGGTGAAAGCCAGGAGCTCTACAGGGCAGAGCCAGCTCCCTGCCTTGACTGGAGGGACAGCAAATGGTTAGGGTTAGGGTCTAGCAAGGACCACTTTGTGGTTGGGGGTGGGACAGAAAGAATCCCTCCCTGTGGTAGATGGAGGCCTTGGAGGTCTTTGGAGGATCCTGAATTTGGATGGGAAGGGAGCTGAGGATCTCACCCACCTCTCCACTGCTGGATTTGTGTGACCAGTTTTCATTGGTGCACATAATGTCCGGCATGCTGAAGTTGTATCTGCCCTTGCGAGTGTTGCACGTCCGGCCGTTCCTCCTATTCGTGGTCTGCTATTGACTCCTTCAGATCGGGTTCTTCCTTGAGGCATGTCGGATAGGAGATGAAGAAGCAGCTGGACAGGGGCTGGGGGAATTACCTTGTGTGGGCCGGCCACTCTCCTTTGGGGGTGCCAGAGGTGATGTTTTCTGACGGTTAGGGCTAAAGATGAGGGTGGGTTCTTTTGCAAAGGAGAAAACTGGGAGGCTCCATCTGTCCACAGGATCTCCCCTGCCAGCCCCCTCAAGTCTGGGCTGTGCAGAGGGAGAAGGAGGGCAGCAAGGCTTCAGCCGACTGGGGCAGTGTGAGCAGCCAGGGCTCGTTTCCACTCACTCCTGCCAGTTGTGTGCTGGGCAGGGCTGGCATTGCCAAGGATGGAGGCGCAGAGATGCAGCCAGCGGGCAGGCAGTCCATTGATTGTCCCGACCAGCGGGCATGAGCAGTGCTGGAAGCCCACCCCTGATGCAACGTGCTGCCAGCCCCACCTGCACCTGCTCCTTTGGGGGTTGCCAGGAGCGGAGCAGGGCTGCAGTTCATTTTGGGCCCCCACTGGCGAGGGCAGGCTGACGGGGCAATGAGAAGCCCACATTTGCCACAGAAGGCTCCAGCTGCATGTCCCCCATCCTGGTGTTTGATGGATTTGGGGAAACCGCCATCTGCAGCTGATACTGGAGTCTGTGAGGACTGTGAACCACCTTCCCCCCAAATTGGCACCCCCTCCTGTATGCACAAGGACCCCATTGCAATCCGGTACGACATGAATCATGATTCCGCACCAGAAAATGTGATTTTGCAGGTTTCGCCTCCTGCTGCTCCGCATCTGTATGTTTCTTGCTCTGCCCTGACTATTCAGTACTCAGGTGGGTAGGCAACATCTGATCAGTTGGTCAGCCTCTCTCTCTGTCCGTTCAACCCTTCACCCATCAAGAGCCTCTTTCTTCCACTGTCCCACTGGTTGAGCTGTGGGAAGGGGAAGCCACTGGGTTTTCTGTGGGGGCAGCTGGTTCTGGCCAAGTCTAAGTGCTGGTCTCCTCCCCCTCCCCCCCCACTGTGTTAGTTTTATCTGGTGCAGTTGTATCTGGTGGAGTGTGAAGAGTTGATTGGACAATGTGATGAACTTGTGGGTGTGGGGCAGGGCTGTGAACTCTTAGCTGGGTGGGGAAAACCTAGGAGCTTTAGATTCGGGTTTTCCCAGATGTGCCAACATGACATCTCTAATAAATTGGAACTTTGAGGAACCTCAGGCTTCAGAGCTTTATTTTGTTGGGGGTGTTCCTTGGAACCCTGACACACTGCTTCCAGTGCCACCCAACTTTCAAAGGCACCCAAGGGTTTCCTCTTCCAGGAGATCCTTTCTAGTGCTGAGACAGTTATTCTTGTTCTGTGGTTGGTTTTCTAATTCCTCTTTTGAAGGAAGATCTGGAAACGGAACCGTATAATAAAAATACCCCCCACCCCTCAGCAATAATGAAATCAAGTGCAGTGAAACCCTAGGTTTCTCTCTAGCAAAAGTGCCAGTCCAGAAAACCACAGAATGAAACGGCTGGGTCAAGGGTGGGGGCACTCCCCCAGGCTGGCTGGCAACTGGGCTGAAGATTACCATATTAATACATGAAGATAAACGTACAATACCAACATAGAAGATTTTTCCAATATAGCAGTTACAAGCAAAACACAAGGCAGGAAAGAACAGTTAGTTTCATTTCAGCAGAGCAGAGTAGTTCACACTGGCTAGTTTCATTTTAGATCTCAGCACAGAGCAGGCAAGCAAGTTGCTTAGTTTCTCTTCCTTAAGTTTCTATTTCCAAAACAAGCCCCATTGGCTGACCTTGTTACCAGTTGATGAATATACTCTGACAAAAATAAGATGATCCAGACCAGGTGCCTGCTCCGTTGCCCTCCATGTCATCCCTGACAAAAAATGTGCCAACTGAAAATACCCTAAAGAAGAGAGATTCAGGGATTTCTGCCAACGAGTGATTCCATCCAGGAGAGGCCACTGCTCATTTCTGTGGGCTCACCTGAGCCCCCAACAACCAAGCTGGACCAAGGACTACCTGCTCCCATCACCTCATGTTTCACCTCCAAGCCCTCTGCAGACTCTGAGATGCTGAAACAGGTGGAGAACAAATTAAATTATAGCAGTCTTCTGGCATTTGGGCAGGAAAAGGAAGAATCAGAATAGAGCTGGAAGAGAGCTTGGAGGTCTTCAGCCCTCTGCTCAAGCAGGAGATCCTATATTCTTTCAGACAAGTGACTCTCCAGTTTCTTCTTTAAAAAGTCCTTAAGTCCTGGAAGCGGAGCTCTGGCTTCAGGAGAAGGAGTGCTCTGCTCAGCCTCAAGTGAAGCAGAAGTCTCCAAAGGTATTGCCAGAGCAGAAAGGACATGCTGGATGTGTGAACAAATTGTCCTGCTCAGCTCATTAAGAAATAGCAGGCTTGTGGCACTTCAAAAGTATACAAAGATGTCAAAATTGTACTAGAGGGTAGGAGATTATTTTTTCTAAGGATACTAGTGATAATTTGATTTATTGTCATAAAAAGATTACACCTTGTTTGCATCTCATGTCAGAAAATTCTTTCTTACTTTTATATAAGAACCCTCAACCCATTAGCTGAGTCCATAACTATCAATGTATTTCAATCACTTCCTGGTGCCTTGGAGAGAAAGCGGAGCTGAAGAGGCTCATGATTGGCGGAGGGAGGAGCATCCTTTGTCTTTGGCAGCCACACCTTTTTATTTCCTCACCATGCCTTCTACTGTCTTCTTGTCCACCCCTACCCTATGTCTTACTCAGCAGGTTGATCTGAAGGTGCAGGTAGAAAACGTGACAATAACCATGATGCCTGTCATTGCAGGAGGTGGCCACAGGCTCAGCCCCACCCACCCGTTACTGCCAGAACCCTTGGAAGACCAAAAGGAAAGGGTTCTTGCCATGCTGAACATCGAGGGCACCATACTGAACCTCATTGTCATCATCTTCATCTACATTTACATCACAATATAGTGCTCATTCCCATCTGTTGGCCTGCTCCACTCTGTGGCCAGCAAGTGCCAGCTGGAAGAGGGGGGAACAGCCATGGCAGGGCCAGACTGAGTGCCAGGAGTGCCAGGAGTGTCGCTAGATGCCACCTGGGCTCAGGAGGGGCCTCATCTTTCACCAGCTTTGTCCCTTCCGGGACCTTACTCACCAAAGGGGGCTTTCCCACTGCCAAGACCTACCTGGATGACATCTGTCTGCTCTGGGCATGGTTTTTGCCTGCTCCAGCATAACTGCCAGCTGCTGTGGCTACCCACCCAGGGGATGCCCCATTTCCCTCCAGCCCTCAAAGTCTCTCCACCCCCACTTCCCAGATGTGGGCCCCAACAAGCCCAAGGAGCCTCTCCTGCCCCCTGCCCCACTCCCTGGAAACTTTCTCTGCCAAAGGGCCCCAGGTTGCTGAGGAAGAGACACAGCCAGCCCCCCCTGAAGTTGCCCTTTGCCCCTTGGGCACTGGCCCCTGCCCTCTGTCCAGCATCCATCAGAACAAAATGCCAGCAGCATTCTTGGATTGGTGTTTTTGGTTGGTGCCTGCTTCCTTAGTCCCACTCCAGCTGCAATCCCTGTGGAGTCCCTAGCTGGGATGAACCCCTTGCCTACCTCCAGGGGAACACACTGATGCAGCCCCTGGGATGGGAAGGAGGGGGCAGGGTGCTTAATGAGCAGTGCAGAAGACCTTTGCCCTAGAAAGTCACTCCTCCAAGAGATGGTAGAGCTTGGGATGCACCAACCAGGGCAGGAGGACCACAAACTCTTGTGGAGAAGAGGAAGAGGCCAGCCACTTGGCCTGTGTTTGTGGTTTTATTTTTTAACAATATTTCTTCCTTTCCTGGCACATGGGAGTGATGGGTGGAGAAAGGAGAGAAGTCTGTGTGTCTCTGTGTGTGTATGTGTTGGGGTGTGATCAGAGCAACTGCCAGCACCAGTCAACCTTCCTTTGCCTCCTGTGGGAGGTCTCCCATCTTCTTGGCTTTCACCTTTCCTGCAGGGGAAGAACAATCCAGACTTTGGGGAAAGTACCAAAAGAGCAAAGCAGGCACCCCATTTTGTCTCCGCCTTTTGCAGTGATTAACAGCTGAGGCCAACTTGTAGAGCTTTGCATTTTGTTATCAGAGCAGTCTCTTGGTGATCCTACTCTGAGGAAAGGCCTGTATTTTTCTAACAAACATGTTGTTGTCATGCAATTTTATATGCAACCGAATTTGAAATAATCACAGGGAAATATTTATGGACACCAAGCACAGTAGTCTTCATGTTTTGCTGCTGTTATGTAACTGGGTCCTTGCCGGAGTAGGGGGTGGGTGCCTCGAGGCCGTCAGTATTTTCTCGCTGTGCTGCTGTTCTCTATTGATGGGAATAAACTTTTCCACCACGGGAAGGTAGTCCTTGGGCAGCAAAACTAGGTGTACCAGCTGCCTTTCTCCATTGATGTCATCATCCTGGGTTCTGCTTGTCTTAATGGGAGACAGG